TTTTCTGGATGATTACATTTAATAGGGGGGCATTGGTGGTTCAGAGCCCTGGTGGCACAGTGGTTAAGAGCTTGGCTGCTAACCAAAAGGTTGGCAGTGATGCCGGGCAGGTTTCAGCGGAGCTTCTAGACTAAGACTGGGAAGAAAGGTCTGGTCATCTGCTCCCAAAAATCAGTCAATGAAAACCCTATGGATCACAATGGTCTGATCCACAACTGATCATGGGGACGGCGCAGGACCGGCAGCATTGAGTTCTGTTGTGCATAAGGTTCACATGAGTCGGGCATCCACTCAACAGCAGTTAACAACAGCATAAGGGTTAAGGTTTACAACACATTTTGGGGGATATAATTCAATCCATTTTAACAATGTTAAATTGGCAAATGTTGGGTTATATATATGTTTACAACAACAACTTGCCCTTTTCCATGGAAGGGCTGGAATTCCTGGAATTCTGTCATTCAAACATGGTTTCACCTGCTCTAGAAGCAGCCCAAACGAATCATCACCTAACAACTTTCTTTCCAACAAATCAGTGTTTTGGGGGCAGTGAAGAATCTTAGGGGGCGGGTTTGGCGCCACACCCAGGCCAGAGCCTTCCAGGCTGGGATAAGGTGTGACTTCTGACAAGTGCTGGGAGCTGCGTCCACTGGTCTGAAGTGCCCAGATCCCTACAAGAGCCGCTCATCCACCAGCCGCTCCCTGCGCCAGTGAGCACCTGACCCGGACAGGACGCCCAGGCGCGCTCCCCAGGCTTCCGACGGAACTCGGGATGAAGCCTCCCCGTGCGGCGCCCAGACCGAGGCAGTCTGCAACCCACATGCCGGCAACTGTGATCCTGGAGCCCGCAGACCGCTGCTGCTGGGACGAGCCGGTGCACATCACTGTGCACGGGCTGACCCCGGGGCAGCGGGTCACGCTGCGCGCGTCCCTGCGCGACGAGAAGGGCGCGCATTTCCGGGCCCACGCGCGCTACTGCGCAGACGGCGGCGGCGAGCTGGACCTGGCGCGCGCGCCCGCGCTGGGCGGCAGCTTCGCGGGCCTCGAGCCTATGGGACTCATCTGGGCCCTGGAACCCGAGAAGCCTTTTTGGCGGTTCTTGAAGCGGGACGTGCAGACGCCCTTCGCGGTGGAGCTGGAGGTGCTCGAGGGTCACGAGCCCGAGCCGCAGCGGGTCCTGGGCCGGGCGGTGCACGAGCGCGACTTCCTGCGGCCTGGAGTACGGAGGGAGCCGGTGCGCGCGGGCCGTGTGCGCGCCACGCTCTTCCTGCCGCCAGGTGAGCGCGGGTCGCGGGTGGGAGATCGGGGCCGTGAAAGCCTGTGGCCTGGAGAGTCCATAGTTTGCCCCGGTGGAGGTCGGCTGTGGAGCGCTGTCAGGGAACCCCACCATTGGACCTCTCCGTGGCCTCACAACCAAAATGGAGGGTTTTGATACGTTAGGCTCTGTGCTATGTGATTTACTTGTATCATCTCTTTTAATTTCCGTATTATTATTCTGCAGATGAAAAACCAGGCTCAGGGTTGGTAGGTTTGTTGCCACTTTGCTATTAACCACTACCCTATAGCTTTCTTCAGGTATCAGCCTGCCCATTCTCCGCAAAATCATGAAGGTCAACGGAAAGTATTGCCATGTGGCCCTTTTCTAGTGTCCTGGCTACACTGGGCTCCTTCTCTTCTTTATGTTCCTCTGTGCCACAGATGTGAGTTGGAATCGACTCCATGGTAATGGTTCGGATTTTTTTTCAGTGGTTGAGGCGGTCACCGATAAAGGAGCCTTGGTGGCACAGTGGTTAAGCGCTCAGCTGCAAACCTAAAGGCCAGTAGTTCAATCCCACCAACCACTCCTGGAGAGAAAGATGTGGCAGTCGGCTTCCATAAAGATTACAGCCTAGGAAACCCTATGGGGCAGTTCTACTCTGTCCTGGAGAGTCGCTATGAGTCGGAATGGATTTGACAGCAATGGGTTTGGGTGGGTACCACAGATCACATTTTAGACTTTACTGCCTTCCTCACCTACACTCCCCCTACCCCTCTCAATGTCTCTCAGTAAATATCTGAAATACCGGTACACAAAAACCCAAGGGTTGATGCAACGCAAAATGGAGCTTTGTTTTGGATTCTTAATTCTATATCCAATCCTCTAACGGGTGGTTTCAGAACACGGAATAAACACTGTCTAAAATGTGAAATTCTTCCTTCCACAATGTAGTCATTAACGAGAGATGTTTATTACTCTCCCTTACAACAACTAACGATTCTTAGAAGTTTGCGGACAAGTTATCATGGAATCCGTATGGAGGATCAAATCATTAGTGAGAAGATACTTTGTGTATAAGGTTTTTCTTCCCCTAGGTAGCTGTATTCTTTTTCAATACTGACTCAGGGATCTATTCTCTTTCCTTTGATTCACAGGAACCCACTAAATAATTCAGCAAAAAACAAAACAAAACACAACAAAAAAAACCATTGCCCGTTGAGTAGATTCTGACTCATAGCAACCCTATAGGACACAGTAGAACTGCCCCATAGGTTTTTCAAGGAGCGGCTGGTGGCTTCCAACTGCCAACCTTTTGGTTAGCAGCCGAGCTCGTAAACTCTGTGCCACCGGGCTGCAAATAATTTAGAAAGGTATCTGAAAGAAAAGCAAATTAAGTTGTATAATGCCTTTGCTTTATAATACTGCCTCCTCTAGGACCTGGACCTTTCCCAGGGATCATTGACATCTTTGGCATAGGAGGAGGCCTGTTGGAATACCGAGCCAGCCTTCTGGCT